GATTATTTTGCATTTTAAAAGGAAACTGTTTAACAGGGTAAAAACACCTTGAAACTTACTATGGCAATGTGACACAGATGGCTCATTCTCAAGAAGCATTTGTTTAATTCAGTTTTTAGTGATTTAGAGCACACAAAAACTTGTTTACACATATGTTCTGTAGATTACTGTACTGGGAAGGTTACTTTTAAAATGTATTCCATTACAGATTACAGAATACATGTATTTTGTAACAGACACCGTTAAGCTACTCAATGACAGTAACATATTCTGGATACTTTGGATTACTTAATATATTGTCATGCTTTACAACTACAAGAATGTACTATTGCTGTGTGATTTATTACTATTACTGAAGGTTACTCTCCATACCAATACCAACTAGATTTTTAAATCTTAATATAAAATGAGTAGCATATGACATGACATCAGGTAAGACTGCACTTTTTGCAGTGATCTCATATAGAAAACTACTTCTGTATCAGTAATAGTAATAGTTTTTTTTTGTCTGTTAATAATCATGTGGAGTAGCATTCATTAATAGGAATAAAAATCACACAGCAATAGTACATCGAAGATACTGAAGTTTTGCCCATCCCATTCTTCTTATATAGTGGTCTTGGAAATTCCAAGTAAGAAATGCATTCCTGCCCGGGCACTGCTGGCTCTCGGTCCATTGTGTAATTGACGCCACTAACATTAACACAGTGCTTACATTAGAGCCTCTTATTGTGGGATTTTTTGAGGTCTCCAGCAATCCGAATTGGAGAAACTGTATTATTCCCAGATGGAATTGAGTTTAAAAAAATTAATTAATTAAATTTTAAAAAAGGGCCACAGGTTGTACTTGAACCTGGGTCGGCCACTCTCAGCCATGACTACAAGCTTATCCAACTGAGCTAAACCAGCGCCCTACTGCGTTTAATCACCAAAATTAGAGAGGGCATAGAGAGGGGATACCCTAACATATAAAACCGGAAAAAACCACGGTGTATTCTATTTATTTCAAAAAAGTAACTGTATTCTGATTACCACCTATTTAAACTGTAACTGTAACGGAATACAATTACTCCTATTTTGTATTTTATATACGTAACGCCGGTATTCTGGGAATCCATCCTACCTGACAAACCATCCTACCTGTTGTTTCTGTGCATGCGCACAACACGAAATTAAGTGGCAAACCGTCCTACCTTTGTGAATATGAGCTAGAAGCATGCTTTAACAGGTAAAATTAAGTGGCAAATCATCCTACCTTTGTTAATAAGAGCTAGAGACATATTCTGATGGGTAAAATTAAGTGCCAAACCAT